GAACCGCGTGTGCTCAATGGCCAATCAATTTTTATCGATCTGCGCTCTTATTGGGCGACGTGTCAGTTATGTCGCTTGCGCGGGCGTGTGCGCACACAGGCTGGTTCCACACGAATAAACCTTCAGTAATTCTGGACGCACGAGGACACGGGGTGACATTAGACCAAAACCCCATCCTTTGTCATGACAACAGATAGACTGCGACCCTTAGCGCGTCATGAGAAAATATCCACTACCTGTGCTACATATCTGTCTGCTCCCATTCGGTTGGGCCACCACATCGCAGACAGTTCTGAGGGTCGTCTGCGTAAACACAAATACATGCGGCAGCAAACCAGAGATAAGAACTTACTGGACAGGGCTTCTACCCGGAGTGGTGACTCAGTTTCTGTCGGTTCAGACCAGCCATTAGCGTTCTGTGCCATGACGCGGAAGAAGTAGGTTAGACCGGGTTTCAGATCAGGCACGGTGACACTGGTGGCTTTGACCGGCCCGCCTGGAAGGGGTGTCCAGGTGCGTTTGGAGGCTTCGCGTTTCTCCACTACGTAACCGGTGATGGGTGCACCACCGTCGTTCTTTGGAGGCTTCCAAGACACCTCTGCAGTAGTGAGTTCCGATGGGACAAGTTTCGCGCTCAGGTTCTCCACTGGTTGGGGCTTGTCCAACACGTTGATCTTCAACTCCAGTTGGTCTTTTCCGAAGTCATTGCTCACCTGTCAGATGGGACATGGTGAGCTGGTTACTATTCGACGCTTTTTAAGACAGGTGTTTAAATTTCTGTCGCAGTTAGCTTTCGGAATAAGCACCCATGAACCTTAGTTCAATGTATCCGACAGAACCTCGTGACCTGGTGTTTAAGTATAGTTCTGCGAATCCTGCAAACAACTTTCAGAACAAAATTTAACTTGGTAGTTTAGCGTATATCTGGACAGGTTATTTTGATCAACTGAGTGGATTAATAATAAGAAGTACTTTGGTTTGGAAAACTGCACTCTTATTTAAAGTCATTGGGGAAATAGGCTCTCATTTTTGCTAAATCATGAGTATGTTTATATAAA